CCCTTTCCATTTAAAAAAAAAATTCCATGAATTTCTAAAGCTAAATAACACAGGAACAGGAATAATTTAATAGGTCTACCACTTTTTGTATAGATATACATTTACCCCCAAACACTATAAAACCATATAAAGTGAAGAAGCTTCATCTGCATGGCTCCCTACCACTAAACTTCATTTCACTCCACTCTGATGTGTCACAATAAAACATGTGGATTCACAGTGAAAGATGGATGAATAACACTTGGTACACTTCTCTTATGTGAAGTTCAGTGTGTCCCATGTAAGAGTATTTTATATACACTTACAATAGCACATGCTAGGAAAGGAGTTATTATTAAAGTGTCATTATCTGTAATTCACAGGTGGAGGAACTGAGTTATAAAGAAACATGGAGTGCATTTCCCAGTGTCAACATCTCAGTTGGCTTTAGAATCCATAGCTGTCTGCATGCCAGAGTCTGGCTCCACACCCTGGGAAACAATGCAACCCTTCTATTGTGCTCACATTGCTCTTCTAAAATGTGTAACTTTGTGGAAGTCCTGGCATTAACACTCTTATTGCTACTGGATATGATTTTAGACACTTGGAAAGTCCTCTGTTGGCTTTTCCACTGGCCTGCATTCTAAATCTGTCATGTATCAAAATTAAGATTCAGAAGGCAACCTTTGAATGAAAGTCTCATACACCTTTCTTTCAATCCCTGTCCAATAATTTCATTTAAAGAGATACCTACTGAGAAAGTAGGTATTTTATTCTACTAGCATAGAATATATTAGAATTGACATTCTCTCCTTTAAAATATTCTGCTTTGAGTATGTTCAATGTTTAGAAAAATATTTCAGGTCTTAAGTTCTTGAATTTAAGAAAGCAAAACATTTTAATTATTCAATATATGCAAGACAATGTTCTCTTTCTCTCTGGCCTATTTTTTGTTTGTTTGTTTGTTTGTTTTGTTACTCCTCACCCAAGGATATTTTTCCATTGATTTTTAGGGAGAGTGGAGGAGAGAGGGAAAGACAGAGAGAAACAGTGATGTGAGAGAAACACATCGATTGGTTGCCTCTTGCAAAAGCCCCAACCAGAGCCCAGGTTGTCGGGGAGGAGCCTGCAACCAAGGTACATGCTCTTGACCAGAATCAAACCTGGGACCCTTTGGTCCACAGGCCAATGCTCTATCCACTTAGCCAAACTGGCCAGGGCAAGTATTGTTCTCTTTTTACTTATAAGATAATGCCATAATGCTGTCTTATCTGAATTCGTCTGCGAAGATCTATCCTATCTAATAAAGATGAATATGCAAATTGACTGTCACTTTGCGACAAAGATGGTAGTTCCCACAGCCAATAAGGAGGGAATATGCAAATTAACACAACAAAAATGGATGCGGCTGGCCCAGAGCAAAGGTGGAAGATGGATCCCAGCCCTGGAGCGAAGGCGGGAGGTGGATCCCAGCCCTGGAGCAAAGGTGGGAGGCATCGGCTGGCCCCGGAGTAAAGGAGGGAGGCAGCACCTGGCCCAGGAGCGAAGGTGGGAGGCGGTGGCCAGAGTGAAGGCCCAGGTCCTGGGTGCCGGAGGGAAACCCGTGCCAGCAGCCAGGAGAAGGAAGGCCTATTCTTGCATGAATCTTTGTGCATCAGGCCTCTAGTATATATATAAAAACCTAAGTGACCATTCAACCATTCAACCAGTAGCTGTGATATGCAATGACCACCAGGGGGCAGATGCTCTAACCAGTAAAGGAGGGAGCCTGATTCCTCGAGGAATCTGCCATGGGTTAGGTTGCTGCTGGTGCACTGTTGGCCCCGAATCTGCTTCACCTGCACCCTAGACACAGAGATCGGTTTCAGCCCAATCCCCACAGGCCAGGCTGAGGACCCCACCAGTACATGAATCAGTGCACCAGGACTCTAGTTGAATATAAAATACTCAACAGCTTTGCTAAAAGAAAAAACTATATAAACTTTTTGAAAAGCAAACAAACCCCCATCTGCATTATCTACATTTGTCAACTTTTAACATGAATATCCAGAACTCCCAGACTTTAGCAAAAGTGGTGATGAAATAAAAATTGTTGAAGCAGTTTAAAGAACAAATTTCATATTTTTTCTGAACAGAAAAGCTTTTATAACTCATGTTGCAAAAGGTTTTGTACTAAACTGTCATGATTTGACAGCATCAAATTTAACATTCTTTGCTCTATAAGAAATAGCTTTCAGGATAAAACTAAGGAGAGGGAAATAGGTTATTAAAATCAGCCAAGCTGTTGTTTAATAGTGATAACAATGGAAGTCAAAAAAGTTAAAATTTGTCTAGTCAAAAAAAAGTTAGGCTGTTGGCTTCTAGGAATGAAGAAAGTTATTTATTTTACATGTTTCAAGAAGAAAATTCCAGGATTAAAATAGAAGCATCTTACACATTTTTTATTAGGTAACTTTCTGATAATGAGGAACTCAAGGTGAGTTCCAAGTCTCACCACTGACATCTAGGTACATCCTCCCTTGCTACTCTGTTTGATAAAAGGACTACAAACAGGACATAAAAATAAGACTAATGGAAAGGATTCTCAACTGAAGCAAACTCTCTAAAGAGTGGGGCATGTGTATGACCCAGCAAGGTTTGAGGTTACTGCCTGGTACCCAGAAGAAGCTCAATAAGTATGTGTGTCATGAAGGGCACCAAATGGCCAGAGGAACCCTGTATAAGAGAAAGCACAGCAGTACAGGTCCATCCGCTTGTACCTGATCAAATATGGCTCTTATTTCACTTCTTCCTGGAAGAACAGTAGGGAAGCCATATTGGTTTTGGTCTTCTCTCCCGCTGTGAAGAGAGGATTGAAATACTGAAAGAACCACAAACTACCTGACAGACCTGAAAACTTATTTTCTACTCAATGTTTCAAATAAGATCAAGTTTCAAAAAACGATGTTTTCATCAGAGAAGAATTCATTGCTTTTTTTTTTCATTTTGTGTTTGCCTTACCTTGGAGATTTGGGTTTGCTTCTTTAAAGAAGGGAAGTGTGAAAATTCCCTATTCAAGATTGTCACAGTCCATTATCCGTAAGGTAGTTACGGTAAGTTTGTAGACTCCCAAAATACGACTCTATGGCACAGCCTCAGGCCCAAAGAAACAGACCTCGTTTGTCCAGTCAGGGATGTAGGGTGCTTGGAGTTTATTATTATTATTATTTTTATTTTTAAATCCACTTTCTTTTTCTTTCCATCCCCTCATGGCATCACAATCCACCAGGTGGCCTGAGCCTTGAGGAACAACACTGATGAGCCACCTGGTTTTCACCTGCGTTCTTCCCCCTGGCATGAGCCAAGCCTTCATAGCCACAAGTGAGTCCTTCAGAAATGTTCCTGGGCATGCCCTACATTCCAGTGAAAGAAGGAGGGCTGTCATTTATGCCACAAACAAAATACTACAGTTGTAATTCCAAATGGAGTGAGGATCAGGATGTCTCAAGAAAGCCCAGTGTCCGGCAGCAGGTACAGCATCAAAACTCAGAGGCGGAGTCCTATTTGCACAGGTATGTGTATTTTACAAACTGGCGATGGACCCAGTACTTCTGAGAAACAATTTGTTCCAGGTCGAATTCAAATGACACTGGTCATTTCCGTGAGCCCCATTTTCCAGCATTCTGTACACCAAGCAACACTGCAGATAGTTTTTTTGATTTTGTTTTTGTTTTTGAATTTCAGAGGGCGAAGACGAAGTAAAAAAAGTGCAGTTCTTCAATTAAAGTGCATGGATGAGGTAAACTAATTTCAAGAGTTTTGAGTTTATTCAGTACTGGCTCAGACGGGAACCATCCTGCCGTGTATCTGCTGCATCTGGGTTCGCATCGCCTGGACGCTGCTCAAAATCTTATTCTGGTGGGTGACAGCTGTGATGCCAATTCGTGCCAGGTCGCTATACAGGGGTGGCGGGGGGTGGGAGGGAGAGAAAACAGAGGGAGAGTAACGTTATGAGGGCTGAGAAACTCTCTTCTGGGCTTCATGCAGACACACATCTGAATCAGCCACAATTCATACAGCACAACAAGGCAGGTGTATTAAGATGTTTAATTAAGCAATTTAATGCAACAATGTAGGTGCTTTATAAAGGCTGTGTAAAATTAGACTCAATCAAAATGAAAGGCATTCCAGTGTTGTGTGTGTGTGTTTGTCAAATGGGTAGGATGATTATGCAGCTCAAAGCAAAAACAGGAAAATACTATTAAATCTAGATTTACCCTTTTGTGTTACATCGCTGAGTACTTACTCCTGGTTCATGTGCACCACAGCCTCTAGTGTGGTATAACCAGCAGCCGTGAAATTATCCTTATACCGGTCCATTTTAATGGCCTGCAGCCAGTCGCCCACCGATACCACGGCGGAGAATTCAGGGGAGCTTGGATCCAACAAGGCAGTGTTGGGTCTGGAAATGGAACAAGAAATTGTAGACAGAGCTATCAGTGAAACAGCAAGACTCAGAAGTCAAATTGCCCGAGACAGACAAGGGGAACTAAAACACCAAGAGTAAACATCGTCAAATGCCACTGTAATTATTTTTGCTCCCAATTTCACAAAGCTTCTAAAAAAAGTATCAATCGCCCAATTTGTTCTTAATTTCATGTCCCACATTTGTTTCACATGAACCTCTTAGTGCGTTAATAATCATAGCAGTTGTTTTGTTTTGTTTTTAGCATACTAGCCTGGGGTAAGGATTGGGGGAGTCTTTGTGGCTGAAATTGATTGTCTTTGCAGAAAGAGTCCAGTCCCTGACAGCACTGGATATTGTAGACTTTAGTGCAGCAACTATGGAAACCCTAGCGGAGTATGAGTAAGGAAAACCGAGCTTCAGTCTGCCAGACTTGATGGAAGGAGAAAGCAGCAAGAGTTCAAGTCTAACGTGCTTCGAGCCAGGTTTACAGGCAGTCTCGGTGGATTCGAAAAAAACTTGGGACAGCAGGGAGTTAATCCCCTTTAATCAACCCATGCCTGACCAGCACGCATGCCAAGACTGGAAGGAAGAATGGCCACTTTGATCACTGTTTAGACTGTGGAATGTGCTTCTGTATTCCCTTACAGGGGCTCCTAAATAATCATTTCCACAAAATCTGAGCACATTTTATTAACTTAGTTATTAGTTTACACATTTCTCAGGCCAGGTGTTTGATATGAGGTCATTGTTAAGAACGACTATAGTTCAAGGCAGGAATTCTGCCATTCTTCATAGTTTTGATATATAATAAATCACCTATTAATGGAAAGTATTTAGTAACTGACTCGTAGTTATCTTCATCATCAAAATACGCAATAATCACAAGGTAGACCTCCACAGGGTAGTCTGTACCACCCTTACTGTAATTACCTCTATAGCAACACCGATACTTAAGTTTTATTTTCTTAAAGTTCCCTTTTCTCCAGAAATTATGGAATGAATTTCACCTTAACAGTTTGACATGATTTTCATTCTGAGACTATGTTGTCTGAATGTAAGTGTTTAAATCAGAAGTATATCATCATGACTGAATTTTCACCCAAAATTTTCTTTTCTTGTAAAAACAAAATTAAGTCAAACTAATGCCTTGATTCATTTACTATATAGCAGAATTAATCCAATTCCATTCTTTATTTTAATTTTACCAGTCATTTTTATTTGCATTGCTTCTTTTTTATGTAAATATTTTAACAAAGACTTCTTTTATCAGTTAGTTCTGAGCCCAGATATTAACTTGCCTTTGTGACCTATCTTTTGTGTCCATTGTTTCAATTATATCCAATTTTGTAAGTAAAATTCTACATATTTTTATGACAAGAATAATCAAGATTTAATTATTCCCCCAATTTCAAATCAATAACAAATATTAACACTCAGAATTTTATATATCAGTGTTGAATGTGTGTCAATTTAAATATTCATATCAAACAAGGAGCAGCAGTTTGCATTTGCTTCTAACTTTACGCCAAGAACATTAACAGGCAACGTGTAAACTCTAGGCGCCTGAGAAGGTCAAAATGACCTTAGGATGAAAATATCCTCACTCCATATCAATACACTCCAATAGATACTCTCAAGTATGTTCTGGAAGTCTTTGGGCTCTCTGTGGAACACCATGACATTTGCCTAATTTTGTGCTCAGTAACATATCATGATATACTACACCCCATTATCAGCAAGTGGTGATAAGCATTAAAGCTACTCAAGTACCATCAGTGAAAAAAAACTAGCATTGAGAAAAGTATATCCAATAACTCATTTTTTCCTGAACTTTGGTGCTAAGCACACATTATGGAATATCAATAGTTAAATAGTTTACGCTATCAGAAGTTCCAAGCACTGGCTTCAGGACTCTCAGACATAACACATGGGCTCTGGAGCTGGAGATGTAAAAGCTGGAGGTTAATGTAGAAATAGGAGAAGCCAGCTACATGGAAACTTGGCTTTAGAGCCGTCTGTTTTTACCCTCACAGTGAACAGAAGAACAGAAACTAGCCCAGAAATGTTAGATTTGTTTTAGGTCACATAGCTACCAACTGGCAGGAGAAAGATGTGAATTCAGCTGGATGTTTTTGCAGAAGAGCTTGACCACTGAGCTCTTTGTATAGTGGCCAATGCTAAAGGATCTGAAAGCCTAAAAGAGAACAGAAGGTACCGCTGCTGTTTGCTCCAAATTCTTTTTTTCATGCATTATAATAATAAGTGTAGTCCTTCTCATCTGCAATATTTAGGCTAGAGTTTCAGGAGAAAGACTAGAGGAGAACATCATAATGGGGGCCAAGAGAGTAAGGGCTTGCATATCGTGGAGAAAATGTCCTCCTGCTTTTTTTTTTTAATATATTTTATTGATTTTTTACAGAGAAGAAAGGAGAGAGATAGAGAGCTAGAAACATCGATGAGAGAGAAATATCGATCAGCTGCTTCCTGCACATCTCCTACTGGGGATGTGCCCGCAACCCAGGTACATGCCCTTGGCCAGAATCGAACCTGGGACCCTTCAGTCCACAGGCCGACGCTCTATCCACTGAGCCAAACCGGTTTCGGCTGTCCTGCTTTTATCTTGGGGTCATGATGAAAGAGACACTTTTGAGAAATGCCGACTTGGAAATGAATAGATGCCTCACCGTATGCATGCCTGAGCCACTTGGTCTTATTGTGCCTGTCTCTTAAATCATTTAACTGACAAAGATGGTCTATACTTTTTTCCATGGAGCCGGTAAGCCAGTAAAGCTCAACCCCGTGAAAAAAAAGTTCCCATTGAACTACAGAACTTGCAGTATCTTTATCTTCTTTCTGGACTGATACACTTCAATTTCCTCTTCCCAATGAAATAACTACCTCTTTTACAGGTGGTGCAATCACTGTAGTTTTTAAAACCCTTCTCAAACATTTGTCTGCATGCTTTGTAACTTGATCAGTTTCTATCCTGGTCCTGTTTCCTGCTACTCTTGAAGACTCATAAAAGAAAAACTTTAAGAACTGAAACCTAAGGCATCTCTTGTGACAATTAACACTTTATTTATAAGTCAACTTAAAATTGCAGTGCACAGAGAGCTGTCCTCTAATCCTTACTTTTTACAAACACAATATTCCTTTTCCTTTTCAAAATATGGCATCTAGCAACCTGAATGTCTTCCAAAAGTACATTTCATCCCTCTTTCAAAATGTCCATGTCCGACATCATAAAATAAGCACTTTAGTTATTTTGTTGTTGCTGTGTTGTTGTTTTTAATTTGTTTTTCTAACTATTCCTTGAGGCCTGACAGCTATTTGGCTCTTCAAAATGGTAAAGTGAACTACCATAAATACTTCACTAATTGAGGAAGAAACCACCCAAGATGCAGAGAGCTATGAAGTGACCTCTTATTAAGAGGCAGGAATTAACGTGAGTCACCACTTGCCTGCCATCTCTAATGTATTCTTTCATACATCACTATTAAGTAAGCATGGCTCACCTGGAGCTCTCGGTTCCCGTCCTCTTCAAGCTGCTGGGGTTGCGGATGAGTTTGTCCAACATGTTGACAATCTGCCCAAATTTAGGCCTGTCACTCCTCTCCTTCTGCCAGCAGTCTAACATCAGCTGGTGGAGTGAGATGGGACAGTCCATTGGAGGGGGCAGCCGATAGCCTTCCTCAATGGCTTTAATCACCTATTGAAGAAAACAGGATGATATGCTAAGCTGCCAGGCAAGCTGTTGTTAGCTGTTCACCCTCCTGATGGGCAAGTTCCCTGCACATTAAGCTTCCAGCAAGCATGAGTATGGGAACATCTCCAATTCCTTCACAGAAGCCAAGCTGGGCCTGCCTATTGCTGGCAACAGGGTAGGCAAGCCTGCTGTTGCTATGAGGTGTTCTCAAATGGCAGGCCAAGCCAACCTGAAGCTCCCAAGTGAAGATGCATCAATGTTCCAGTTATTAGAATCCAATTAGATCAGTAAATGGTGTAGGTCTGACCCTCAGCTATCACAGGGCAATGACTTTCTTCACTTTGTTCCCAAGCATCTGCAAAATACTCTTAGGAAAAAGAGATCCTAACCTTGTTAAAGGCCTCCCATAGGAAGTATTATTAATAGCTCCCTTCAAAATGCAAGTCTCTTTACATCGTTTTAAGCCTGTATCTTCTTGCTCAGACAGCTAATGGGTCAAAACCAGAGACCACCTCCCTGACTCCCAACCCAGAAGACACTGCCAACCTCTGAAATAGCACACCTCTCAATCTTTCTAGATGCCCAGCCTTTTCTACTTTTGGGAGACCAAAATACACCATTATGCCAATTCTGTACCTCTTCCTTCATCTTATTTGGCTATCATTTGACCCTGTTAAAGGTGTAGCATATTTTTTTAAAAGTGACAACTAAAACATTTTTCATCTTCTTTTAGGCATTTCTATGTTAAAGGGGTCACAGGCAATTCTAAGGAAAAAAGTTATAATGTAGATGGTAATTGTCTTACTACCCAGAGTGGTCTCGCTGTCTAGTGAGCCATAAATAAATCATTCAACAGTCTTTTTTCTAATTCTAATTTTCCTAATCTGTCTTCACAGGTATTACTTATTTTTCTTATTGACTTTTCTCTAAACCCCCCTTCTTCATGGCGTAAATCCCAGTAATGCAATACAGCATGACTCATGCCAAATTTAAAGAGGGGAATTACTTCATAATTTCTTGGCGACTCATAAACTTTGTTTATGGGTATCCTATGAGATTCTGGAGGTGCTTTTGCCTGTTTGGGGATTTTTTAAAGTTTTATTTGTTTCAAATCAGTCTTTCCACTCCAGCCCCTTTCCCACCAAAGTGATAGTTGCTAAGGAAACGGCCAGTGGCTGTAGCCATCTCAATGACCACACTGCATTCACCCTGCGGTGGGTCTATTTGCTGCTGAACAATTAGCCGTCAACACAACATGGTCAGTTCAGCTGGGTACAGTTTCTACATACCAATATGACTTCTTGTCTTTTTAACCAGCACACTGTTTCAGTCTAACAATCATCTGGTGATTTGTTAAGCCCTGTGATCCTTTCTTTCTCCATTTGTTTTTTTTTTTTTTTTTTTTTTTTTTTTTTTTTTTTTTTTTTTTTTTTTTTTTGGCCAACATCCTGTTGTATTAGTATGTATTTAGTTCTCCTAAAGTAGACTTCTATATGCTATCTTACTGAACATCATTCTACTTATTTCCAGTAATCACCTTAGGTAATCACATTGATTCCCTCACTTTCTTTTAACTTTCCAGGTGCATGGTGTTGGCTCTAGATTTGAGGAAAATGTTTTATATTGAACTGATGACAATGCAAGCAACATCGGGCTAATGCCGGGGTAACACAATTTCTTATAATCCCTCAGACTGTTTAATACTCCTTCATTAGCTCCCTATCCACTGCCAGCTTGCAAGATGACTTGTGGGTTAGCAAAGCATATTTTCTCAGTTTACTGCTGAATGTTTTGGAGGGCAGAGGATTAAAACCAACAAAAATCTTGATAAGTTTGACATATTTTCAACAGCTACTTTGACTCATTCACCATATGCCAAATTCTACTCAGCAAAGTAATTTTCCAGTTACATTTCCTATTGATTCCTGTTCTACACAGAATCCAACATGAACACAAATACACATGAATGCTAGATCAATGTTATTTGCAGAGAAAAGCAGCTTCAGATGTTTTTCAGGGATAAAGCCAGAAAATTAAAAATTTAAAACAACCAAAATGATTTTAATATAATATAGAAACCATCAAGACTACAGGTTCTAAAAATACTTAGGGCAGGGAAACTAACAACATCTTTAGACAATCTGCTGTTATGAGCATTTGGCCATGACTTTCAATTAAAAAAAGGGGGGGGAAAGTTTAAATATAAAATAATTAAATAAGTAAATACACACATCACTTACTCACTTAGGTTGTTTGTCCTTGTCCCTCCAAAAATCTCTAACCCTAAACTAAATGTTGCTACAGGAAAGGTACTTGAAGTTATATGCATAATAGCATAGTCACATCAAACAATAGATTGCACACCCTTCACCTCTACAGCCTTTTCCAGTTTGCAATTATCAGTTATGCTAGCTGTCTTTCCTCCCATCTGCTACCAACCTTCCTTCACAATTTACAGATAATCCAATGTCAACACAACCATTCCTCTTAATCTGGTTAGGGAATTCTTTTTGCCCCACTAGACATGGAGTTCATTAGCTTCTCTATTGCGCTGAACATCCTTTTATTGATAAGGCAACAGCATTCTGCTTCTTAAGTACACCTGGCTCTTCATTGAATTGTCAAGGCTGTGCAAGTCCCTGTGTTTCAGGACATGACAGATGGTCAGGTAACATTCCACCTCAGAGAGAATTTTTTAAAAGATGACTTTTCCTAAAATATAATTTCTATTGATATTGAATACCATGAATCTATAAACACTCTGTGCTAATATTTTACCTCATATATTAAAATAATTTTTAAAGTTCAAAGAGTGTTCATTTTATTGTGATCTGACTTCTAACCCAAGAACTAAAACCTTCCCAGAATTAGCAAACACGTGTTCTAGGAACCCACTGCTGTAGGGTTTTTTCTTTTCTTTTTTTGGCCCTTTCTCACTGGAGATGTTTGTAATTAAATTCTATTACTCTGGAATCTTATTAGTGTCATTATTGAATGCTTTACTGAAATTGCAGGCATTGTGGATACTCCCTTACGAAGTAGTCCAGATGGTACATTTAAAGGGATGTGCATAATTTACAAAGGGTCATTTAGTGAAGCTTTATTTTAGAGTCCTCAAGGGGCAAGCTCTAATTACAACTCTGTCAGCTTTAAAATATTCACTAGTTTTCTCGAAATAAACCTTTCATGTCAATTTGATCACATGTGAAATGTGTGTTTTTCATATATCCTTGCATTTTCTTCAAATTCGAAGTTTAATTTTGTTTCAGTATGAATCTGGAAGTTATCCAAGTTCAAATACTGCTCCATGTCACGACTCTATGCATCTATCTAAATCTATCTATATGATCCATCTCCCAAACGATAACACTTAGGCTATAGTAATTTTGGTCCTTGAAATCTACCACCATAAGGTTTAACTATATTACTAGACACATTTTTATTAAAAACCCTGAGTTTAATGTATCATTTCAAGCTCAACATGCACTCCATCATACACTAATGCGAAACTTCCTGAATCTCAATGCTAAGGCATATATTTCAGAACATAAAGACTCACGTCTTGATTGGACATATCCCAATAGGGCCTCTCTCCATACGACATCACTTCCCACATAACGATTCCGTAGCTCCATACATCACTTGCTGATGTGAATTTGCGATAGGCAATTGCTTCTGGCGCAGTCCACCGGATAGGAATCTTGCCACCCTATGAACATTCGAGCCATAAGTTATTCCCAAAGTACTTTACTGATGTGCCATTTGTGATTCTGAATGTCTTTAATGTTTGCCAAGCAGGACAAAAGCATTCCTGAGATAGCTCTTCAAACAATAACAAGAGATTTGTTTATCTTAACTAAAGTCTTCCATGTAGAGACAGTTTTCCTCAGATGTTTTCTTTTGTCACAGGGAAGTGAACAAGTAATCGGTTTAATTATTTTTAAAAAGCCTACCTATCATCTAAGCTCTGCTCGAGGAGATGTTGTAGAGGAAAAGGAATCTCAGGTTTTAGGAGGTATATGTTAACTATGGCATAGCAATAGATGTGCAGCTGATATTCCTTTTGACTTGTTAAATTCTGTCACCCAGCAGCACAAAGGCAATATTTAATTTTGCTCCTAAAATCATGAACTAAGAAGTTAAAATGAAAATTTTTATCATTCACATTCTCTTCCTACTCTTACACAGTATGAGAAACATGCCTAACACAGCTAGAAGAGAACACTAAATAGGCTCCTAGAGGAAGCCAAATAATGGCAGATGCTAGAGCCATTATCGACTTTAATAAAGTGAGGGCAGGATTTTGGTTACCATCTAATTAAAAAAGAAAACACCTGCAAAATTGGTGAAGCAATTGACTGTTAAAAATGCTTTATCCCCTTGCCCCACTCCCCTCACTGCCCCAAATGTCTTTTTTAATACAGTTTCATATTTCCTAGAGTTCCATCTGGGGAAATTAATTCAACTTGAATTCATACCCTTAAGCTGTTCAAGAGGCCATCATTTAAAAGTTTGCTTTATTAGGGCTACTATAAACAGGACATATATTGTATTGGCAATTGCACTGATTCACTGTCATTTACTCTGAAAACTTAGTGCATCACATTTAAAAGTGTGACATACAGGACACTTGGGCTGCCTCTGCCTTCCTTAAATATTTGGCTAAGGTTTTATCTATGTAAATGCATCATTCTAGATGGCTCCTCTAATTTCTCTCTCTCTAACTACTGGGACAAAATAAAAGATCCCCAATATTCACAAAGATGCATTATTTCCTAAATGAATGCACTTGGAATTCAAAAGAAGATATATGTAAGAATCAAAACTAGAACCAAAGAAACTGAACAATACAAGAAAAAACAATAACCAAACAGACAACAAACAAAAAAAAGTCCAATGCTTAGGACTGCAGATGCAAAATGTAAGCATTATATGCCTGGTAACTGTCTGCTTCATGTTGATTTTAACAGTGTCAGCCCTAATGGCCAATAACTTTTATGATTCTGTGCTTATTCCATTAGTATCTTATATTCTGATGGTCCAGCTAAGATAGCACAGCCATTAACTGTATACTGATAACTCTTAACTGCCCTCTAATCCTGGCTTATCTACCAGTAGTAAAATGAAGGCCATTAGATACTGGAAAACCCTGCATAGTGTAAATGCTTTATAAATCCTGTATATACACTCTCAGAGCTGGTAGTCAAACAGCTAGGAACAATGCTCTGTGCTGTTTAAAATAAGCTTATTTTTAATAATAAAAAAGAACCAAATAGAAAACCTAAAAAATAAAATAAAATAAAGAAAGCAGGAAGGGTGGGAGGAAGGGAGGGAGGGAGGGAGGGGAAGAAAAATTAAGTGTAAAAAAAATACAATAAGTGAAGGGCTACTTTGTGGCTTTGTAAAGTGGTTGCACATATAGAGACTTTCAAAATCCCTGTCTAGGAAACATGGTAGAAAATTGGATGCATGGCTCTGAAGAGGCTCTGAAGGATGATGAGCCTATTGTAATCACAGAGGACTTAAGCATCAAAGCAAGCAGAGTGAGATAGTTTCATCAGAGTGAAAACCCAGAGGTTGCAAATCCTCCTTACCCTTGTGGTATAAGCTGCTTCCGGATCATCCTCAAGTACTCGGGACATGCCAAAATCGGACACTTTGCAGACCAAGTTGCTATTTACCAGAATGTTCCGTGCAGCCAGATCTCGATGCACATAGCTCATATCAGATAAGTACTTCATCCCAGACCCAATGCCACGAAGCATGCCCACCAGCTGAATGACAGTGAATCTGCCGTCATTCTTCTGCATATAAAGGAAGGGGGGACAATCTCATTAGCTTTAGGCCAAATTAATGTTTACCAAGCATTTCTATTACTTGAATCTTTTTTGATAGCTGTATTCAGTATGCAATCAAATTCAACATTATTTCTGGGCCTTTTTGACCAAAGTCACTAATTCACTAGTAAAGTGAGTATATCCGAGAAGCTGTGTTTGCTTCCTGTGACAGATGGAAATTATCCAACTGTAAGGAATCTAAGACTCAAACAGAGTTTATTCACAGTAGAAGAATAAATCAAATACATGGATTATCTAATAGTCTTTAAAAATCACATCATTCTCTATTTCTCCCCTTCTTCCTTGGCCCCATTAAGATATGCCACCAAATACAATGGATGCAAGGAGTCTGTAAGAGTTTCCTGAATACCAACATTCTTGGGTTTAATATAAAGCAGTCACATACCCTCAGGAATGCATCCAAAGAGCCATTCTCCATGTACTCTGTTATGATCATCACTGGTTTACCTAGAGTTTTGAGAAAGAAAAACACAAACCCTTGATGAGCACTGCAGTTAATGAGATAAAAATGGGCTGTGCACAATTTTACTGCCAAGACACCTGTCTTGTGTGATCTAATTTAATTAAAACAAGCCAAGCTTATGCCTCAGCTGTGGAAAGCTAGAATGAAATATTAAAAAGACGAGCAGGTTTAAGTTCCATCTGGAAGGTTAACCCTTCGCATGGCTTGTTGACAAGGTCTTTAACTAAAGTGGCCTCTGGTACCCAGGGAGCACATGAATGGATAATTGCTCTCTCAAGCCAAAGGGGAAGAAGATAAATGAGCAGGCCTGTTTAAAGGCGGAAAAAAAAAATCTTTAGGATAATTAATTAATTTTGTCCCCAGAAGAACCACTTGTGTGATACTAAAGGAATCAATGGACAGAGACACTTTTTTTTTTTTTTTTACTTATTTCGAGAAACCCAAGTTTCAGAAAGCAGTAGCTATGTTGATGACTTCATTGCTCAGACACATCTTAAAGATCAAGTATGAATATTAACTTCTTTCTTCTCCTTGCTCAGATTAGGGGTTGTATCCTTTTGTCTCTCGTTCCCTTTCTATAAATAAACTTATTCTATTTGTTTCCTTAAGCCACCAACATCAGCAACAACAAAATCACAGAAAAAGCTCATTAAATTATTTTATCCTAGACAACATTCTTAATTCAGTACTAGAACATTCTTGCTCTCCACTCCATCCTCTCTCTCTCTGTTTTTGGCAAAAAGAAATCAAAATCATGTTAAGGTTTGGGGAAGTAGGGAAACACCATTTTTATTTCACCTTAGTTTTCTTTCTGAGAACCTTAGGAAATTAGAACCATTCTTTAGTTTCTTAATCGCTGGCAATGGACTCAAGGTCTGAAATTCTTTTTTTCTAAAGGGGATTTGTGGGAGTGGGGAGGGAGGAGGTGCATAAATCCTCAATATTTTACTAAGGGAAGCTTTAGAGGAAAGAGAACATAAAAGATTCCCTGAGAGGAAAATAAAATGTTAGTTTGATAATAAATCAAAAATATTCACACTTTCATTGATGTAATTGTGGACTGTTTGGACTTAGGGAAAATGGGCTGGGATACGTCACTGCTGAAAAGCACCCAAAATTATTCTATACAAATACATTTCCCACCCAGAACCCCTATCAGAGTAGACTGTTCTGGTGAGGGGAAAAGGGCACATCTTTTTTCAGAGGCAACCATTTTGAAGAACAGATATTTTTAATTTCAACAAAGTACAATTTATCAATTTGTTTTTTTGATTGTGTTTTTGGTGTCCTGTCTAAGAAATCTTTCTGAAGCAAACATTTTCGATTAGAAACCAATACCCTGGAGATTTTACTTTCAAGTGATGAATGAAAGCTGGCAGAAAAAGCAGGAATCGTGGTGAAGACTGAAGGATGAGTCAAACCACTTCCAGTCTCTCCCCTTGGCTGGAGAGGGTGAGGGTGGTCCTTGTCTACCTCTCCACTCGCCATCAATTTAAACAGGAAGCTCTTAGTTCTTAGCTTCATTTACCCTCTACATCTGTGACCCCAGTCTTCCAGATAGACACAAATGCATCTAAATGAGTTTTAATTAACCTGCCTCAATCAAAAGATACTTTGTCAACTCATGAGAAAGGGTGACCCCCCTGGTGGAGCATTAACACCTACTTCCATTTCACCAGACCCTCTGGAGATGCCGGAGAAGAGTGGAGCATCCAAAAGACAGGGGGGGTGGGTCGTGGGGAGAATTTATAGTCTCCTTGTCAATTTAAAAAGTTACTCAAGTAACTGCTGGTAATGAATTCACACTCTTCCAGGCCACCTTTTCACCCTCACACCTCCCTAGTCCGACTGTTTGGCACCATCTTCAGAATTTTTGTACATTCCTTTTTCTGCTTATTAACAGTATCCATTTGTCAGAATCTTTATGAGCTCTACAAGAGAAATAAAGATGAATATCTGCAGAAGCAAAGGGACTTATAAAATTGGCCTAGGCTGGGCTCATGGGTGGAAGTGGGTCCTTCTCTGGAACAGAGGGGGATGCGGGTGGCTAGGGGAGAGGTGGGGGGAGGGGACAGCGCCTCTGGTGGAAATTTTAAATCATTTTAATTCAGTGACAACTGCATTATGCAAATGCACCCAGTCGTTTATAACAGTTACAGCTGTAATAGCTGTGGGTTTTAGAGGCACGGTGGGACTTTCACACAAAGATCCCCTGTTTCTTCTCCCTTCTACAGAGGTGCTGTGAAAATCACTGTCTGCCGCAGGAAAAACACCCCAAGCTGGACAGAGCCTCCTTTTGAGAAACTGGACCTGCAGAAGTATTTAGACGGAATGTTATCTTTTAATTAAAGTAGTGAAGGACTCTGGACAGCCCCTAAGGCCACAGGCAACAGAAAAATATCCTGTCTGTAAAACTAATCTTAAAAAGCAAATAGAGCTATTCTATGCTAATTATAGCTTTCACCTTAGGTGGAAAAACTGTATATCCTTCTCCCTAAAGATCCTTTTTCTGAAGAATTCTGAAGATGGGAAAAAATGTACTTCTTAAGACACGATAACACCAGCTAACACTTAGAGTTTGTTTTGTTTTTTTATGTGCCAAGCATTATGCTAACCACCCTAAATAATACATAAAATAACCTTGTAAGGCAAGTTCTATGTTATCTCTATTTTACAGATGAGGAAACTGAAATATTGAACGAGTCAAGGCCACCTGCTTAGCCAGCGTGTAAATCCTAGGTCACTGGGCTAAACGTAGGTTTTCGAAGTGTGGTCCCAGGAACCGCATGCACCTTTGGATTATCTTACAGCTTGAAATTTGAACTCTTGGACCTCACCCCACCTGAGGACAAGGTTCAGGAAACTGATTTGACACGTTTTTCAGGATTCTGATGCATGTTTAAGTGTGGGGACCTCTGAACTAGTGTATACTTTCTCACTTTTTAGTAACCTCTTTTTCTCTTCTTAAAGATTTTATGCCCTGTGTCAGACCTCCCCCTTGACCTCAGGTCTAATGTCCAATGTTTAATCTTTAACCAACCCTCCCTCCTTTCCTTCACCTGTTGGAGCAGCCACTTTAGACACGATGTCTGAGGATGCATTTCACAGGCACCTCGAATCAAGTAAGAGGCACCCTGGGCTTCCCGGAGCCATAGTCCCAGGCTTACAGGATCCTTGACTTGTAGGAACTGTAGGAGGTACTAAGGCTCCTGGAACAGAGCCACCTTCAGTAATAACCACTTCAGCTGCGTTGTCCATGTGGCATTTTATAAGTTGGTCTTAGCCAGCCTCACCAATGCATTCAGGGTTTGCTTTGTAAAATACATCTGTGGAGCTGTGTTGTGTTTTAACTGAAGCGTGGTTCGCAGGCTCAGGGAATGCTAATGGGCTAAAAAAGGAAAGTTCAACCAGGTGTTACTGTAACTGGGTGCTGAACTGCAGCAGCCATAAATCAGGCAGAGCAGACAAGCAAATCCCCCAGCCTAATAAAGATTCCCAAGATCCACTCCCCGCATCTGGAACTGAAGCCTTGAGCACAAGGTGTGGCGAGGTTTTTGTTGTGTTTTATATGAAAAGTACTTAAAATTTATTGTGCTTACCATCTGCTTGTGCCTACCTTGTGACAGTCAGTTGGGTCTAGCAAAGATCTGAAAGATGGCAAGGCATACCAAAAATCTGCAATATTAATTTCCCTAAAATCTCACACAAGCTGCCTTGGAAAGAGTAGTATCAGCCTAAACCATAGACCCATTTAGAGCTGACTACAAGATTAATGACTTGTCCTGCACTGATTTCCTCCTATTAGCAATCAGTGGGGCTGCCCCATCTGTCATTTCCCTGGAAAGAAATGTGTGTTTAATTTGCCAGGAACTTCTAACTTGGCTTTGTAAAGGGAGTGACCCGCATACATTTGGTGACGACGCCTTCCATGTGAATTATATTCGGGTGGTCAAACTGTCCCATGATGCTGGCCTCACTCAGGAAGTCTCTCCTCTGTTTGTCTGTATAACCGGCTTTCAGCGTCTTAATGGCCACACAGATCTCTCTCTTGCCAGGCACTTTGAGACGCCCACTGCAGACTTCACCAAATTCACCTTTGGGAGAGAAAAAGAATTGACTGTGGACCAGAAACACATTCAAGATGAAAGAGTAATGGCAAACATTTGTTGAGTGCTTATTACCCGCCAGGCACAGTGTTAGTGTTTTACATAAAGCCAGGAAATGTCATGTTCACAGATATTTACATATAGACATGTACGCACAATGCACCCATATGCATTTATATAATCATATGTGGATATTTAATACCCACAAAGAAAATAGGTTTATTAGACAGACACTTACCAACTCCTATGACTTTTTCTATCTTAATGCAGGATGCGTCGATTTCTTTGGCAAATTCTCTAACTGCTTGGTTGGGATCCTCGTATGTAAAGGGATCCACATAAGTTCTAACACCTAAGTAATAGACACATGATACAGTGACCAAACACTTCTCAGGAGCCACTAATAAACTTCAGTCTACAAACACTTAGCACAGGGAACGTTTTCTTAGCACGATAAAACAGACTTGGTGTAGACATATGACAATGTTTAAATTCTTGCTCTGGTTGTCATTAGTGGGTAAACAAAGAATCGTTAACTACTTAAGAGGCTGCAGGTCTCCTGACTTCCTGAAATATCTTCACACTTCAAGGACAAATTTAAAAAAAAAAAAAAACACACACACAACTCATCCCAGGGAGAAAATGAGAGTTCTATATGGAAATTTGGAATGTGTTAGCTGAATATTGTTTCCTCATCAGTTGTCCTTATCCTACCCACCATGTCCAGCTATCCTCCTTTAGTGAGATAATAAGAACTTTCTTTTTCAACTGGCCTTGTCTACATGGTGTCACCCTTTTGCCCAATATCTGGACTAATTAAATATGTGACCAACAATTAACAAAGTAAGATTAAACCTAGGTTAAAATGGACAAGAGGGATAATCTCAACAAAGTGATTTGAGAATATATAGCCTCTCCATTGGATCTCCACTTTTTTTCTGTTTTGGGAAAAAGTAAAGACATTGAAGTTCACCTGGAAGCTTTAGCTAAGGAAATGTAGCCTAACTGTGAATGGTTTGAATACCGGAAAGTGTAATTTAGCCATATCCCACAGCCACTTGCAAAAAAATTCAGAATGTGACCTCTGGAACCACAGGGGGATGCACTATAATTCCTGCGAACTTTCTGCTGGCATTCACACCTCTCCTTCCCCTGCCTGAGCTCCTGGGGCTTTGGGGCACTGAGAGGGTATAAGACAATGAATGCCCCAATCCCTTTGATTTTTTGGGCCTGTCAGTCTTGTCCTTCTCACAGAAAAATTACATTTTTGTTTTTAAAAATATATACATCGTGCAAATTAAAAAATGTTTAAGAAAACAAGGTAAATAATAAAATGTTGTCAAGCCCTACATAGCCTTTATGACTTTAGAGCAGCCGTGGGCAAACTATGGCCCGCTTGCTGGATCCGGCCTGTTTGAAATGAATAAAACTAAAAAAAAAAAAAGACCGTACCCTTTTATGTAAACCCTTTTATGTAATGATGTTTACTTTGAATTTGTATTAGTTCACACAAACACTCCATCCATGTTTTTGTTCCGGCTCTCCGGTCCGGTTTAAGAACTCATTGTGGCCCTCGAGTCAAAAAGTTTGCCCACCCCTGCTTTAGATACTCCACCCAAGAAAATCTTTCTCAAGATTATTCTTCCTACTGCTAGCCTCTCTCTTCTTTTTACCTCCTGGTGCTGTCTAATAGGGGACCTATTAGCCACATGTTGCTATTTAAATGTTCATTAGTTAAAATGCAATAAAATTTACAATTTACTTCCTCCTTCACACTAGGTACTTTTCAAGTATCCAACAGTACATGTGGCTGTTGGCTAACATATTGGCCAGTGCAGATGAAGAGCACTGTGCTATCATCTCAGAGTTTCTAATGAACAGTGTTCCTGAAGGGTTATCAACCTCTGTCCACTTAAGAGTCTTGTCTCTTCCTCAAGTCATTCTAGAGCCAATTCTTTGAATTTATTCATTGATCCCTTTTGGATCAAAAGAAGTAGAATCCACTAAAGAAATATTGATGGTCCTGAATTCTACATATTGGGGGGAAGAGGAGGTATAGCAATTACAGCTCAATTCCTTATTCCTTCTCCAAAATTGTTACCTTCAAACTTGAAAAAATATTTGTTACTTGTTCATTGCCACCCAACTACAAAAATGAGCCAGCTAGACCAGTGGTTGGCAAACTGCGGCCCCTTG